TAGTCACCCTCCAGAGGGAAAGACAGTGTCAGCACCAATTCAGAGATGATTTGAGGATCTACAGCCGAGTGATGCACAAATAAGATACATTTCTGTTAATAGTTAAGGTACTTGAATGCATTTTTAATATTTAACTCCTGATGCATTTTAATTTATATTGCATCGGAACAAAAAGATCAAAAGGTAAGAAATCCCATCAGTTAGAGGATCTTCCTTGCATCTCAGAGATGGTAAATGATGGAAAATCTTCTTAGTAGGGTAACAGACAGCAGTAAAAGCTTTATAGATGTTCCAACCCTTCCCCACCATGCCCAAAAAATAAGGGGGTGCAACCCTCAGGGCTAATTGCGTTTCTTCAAGTGTAGGCATCGTCTGAGAGGTCCCATGTCTATCAGCAGCTCCATACTTTGCTTAGAAGCTGCCCCACTGCCTGCCACATGTTTTTCATGTAGTGGTTTTAAGTGCTACAACAACGGATAGGTTCTCCAGCAGGCCAGTGTTCCTCTATATTCCCCGTGATCCATCCTGTACTATGTGTAGTTAGTCATTGAGTGCTATTCAGTTAATCTGGGCCCAGCTTTGTTCAGTGTATGTCCCATAACACAAGAGGAATAAGTAATTTATGGAGTTACTATCAGTAAATCACAGCAGTATAGTCACCCAACACTTTACAAGAATTAGATGGTGATATAAAGTAAAATGTGTACCATAAATAAAGCATGTGGGAGCGGAAGGTCAAATTCACCTTTTCCAACCTTCCTGTATATTGGGGACAATGCCAGGTCTAAGATTTGCCCTGAGAACATTTTTACATGAAAATATTCCTGTCCTGTTTCGTTGCAATGCCACGTTTAGTTGCCACTATCCATTCTTCAAAGTCTTACTTTTTAATCTAGCAGTGTAAACAATGGTAAGCTACAGTAATATGCCAAAACCTTCAAAAAGAGTAACATGGCTTGGACACAACATTGTTAAAAGAGAACTATGAGGTGAGTGATTTACACTCATCCTCATAGTTAGAGCCGATGTCTGAAATTGAAACTATAGATTGGGAAGTGAGGGCAAACATACCATCGCTCGCTCACTTCCCGATCATCTACCTGCAGAGAGCGGTGACTGTCAGTCACGGTACCCCACATAGATTGCGCGCCCCCCCCACTCTCCGATCCTCCAGCGCTGACTGGAGGAACGGATGGGGAGGGGGCGGGCACAGCTGGCTCTGCCTCTAGATAGGCAGAGCCCGCTGTCAATCAGCCAGCTGGGTGGATCTCAACAGTATTGTCGGAATCTGTCCTGGCTGTGGCGTTCTCAGTATATAGCGAGCAACAGCTCGCTATATACGGAGCTTTGGCTCATGGGAGGACGTTAGTATATGTCCTCCCGTGACCCTAAAGAGAACTATGGGATAAAAAGGTTACCCCATAGTTCTCTTTTAAAGATAATGTCACTTTTCCCTTTCTGAATAAAGTAGCAATGTCTGGTGCCCTAACCCCCATCTACCCAGCAAGATATACTTACCAAATGCACTGCCACCATGTTAAACACAGGTGTTGGAGCTAAACTTCTAGACAGATCACAACCTTCCAGATGACATCACCACCCCCTCCATGTGACAAAAGGCATGGCAAATTTCCGCCCAGGCCAGAGCACTCTCACATGCAAGAGGTCACATATTCCCACATATGCAGAAGCACTGCTCTGTTGCAGGGAACACAGATCTGTAAGTATACATTGCGAGGGGTGGGCTAGTAGACACGGTCACTATGCTTTGAATAGGCAGTGTTTCAGTGTCTTTAAAAACCTGATTCATCAGAAAATGAATACTAGAAATTTAAACCTGAGACCACCCCCCCTCCTCTGGTAACATGGCACCCTTCTGGTGGCATGCTATCACCTTTAGTTGAAGGTGGAGACTGAGGGATTCATGTCAGCGCCTGACTTCTTATATGTCTTGGATACACCAACATTATGATCTTTCTGCTACAATTCCTGACACTGTTCCTGTCCTTCTAGGACTTCTTCAGGTTCCATCCTCTACCGTTACTTCACCCATAACAAGAAATATTGAAAACCCAACAGGGAAAGTAGGACCCCCTTGGAATGGCCACAGCACCTATGGCAGAACCTGAATCTTAGGCACAGAGGTCTCACAAATAGAGTGCATGAAAGGTGTAAGAAACTAGCTGGGTTATTTTTCTCTCACAACCTCATCAGAAACTGGACTATCCATTTTGGATGGACTGACCTTTTTACGGAAAATGAAGTAAGCTGCTGTACCTTACCTCTAGAAAGGTGCAGTTGCCGGGTCAGTCCATGACAGGTAAAACACTGTTCTTAGTTACTGACAGTATTCTTGAGCAAATGGGAAAACATGCACAGTGAAGAATTACATCTCTGACACACACTCAGAAGGAAATAGTATTTTAAGATGTTATACTATACTTTAAAGGAGAACTATGGGGTTAAGGCTTTTCCCCATAGTTCTCCTTAGGGTAAACTAGCGTCCTCCCGTCACCCTAGGCTCAGTATACCGCGAGCTGCAGCTCGCGGTATACTGAGACGCCGCAGCTGAAGCGGATCCCGACAATTATGACGGGATCCGCCCAGCTGCGTGACTGACAGCTGGCTCTACCTATCTAGAGGCAGAGCCAGCTGTACCCGCCCCCTCCCCCGTCTGTTCCGCCAGTCAGCGCTGGCAGATCGGAGCAGGGAGGGTGGAATCCAGCCCCTCCCCTGTCACGGCACAGAGCCGTGACAGGATCGAGAGGTGAGCGAACGCCGGTATGTGTTCGCTCACCTCCCGATCTACTGAGCTGAACTGTGACAGTCTGATTGTCACAGGTCGGCTAGAACTATGAGGTGAGTGAGAAGCACTCACCTCATAGTACTCCTTTAAGTGCATGTAGAAGTATATTAGAGCACTTGAGATGCTCTACTTTAGTGGAGACTATAAGCAACTGAATACGCTGATGGTCAAAGTTTAGGGAACAAATTACACTATCAGTTGGTAATCACAGTCACTTAAACAGTGATTAACTTTCGTGCTCCCGTTCTCTAAAGACGCTAAAGGGTGTGTAAACCTAAAATCTGGTGTTCATTATATTCGGCATCATGACCCACTGTATACAGTTTTCCTAAGCATTTGTTTTTAATATTTTGCAAAGTTTCTTACTTGCAGATCCTATCAGTAACAGCACTTCCTGTTGCAGGCTGACAATGCTCCATGCCCCACAATGAATGCAGTGTTGTCAGCCTGTCATGTGTATTTCTTCAACTGTTTGTTGGGGTGACTATCAGATATACCAGATAAGAAAACTCAACAACCACTTGAAGAGACTAGCAGACTGACAATGCTGGTGCACAGCCTCAAACAGGAAGTGCTGTTACTAGCCAGCTCTCCAATAACTTTGCAACAGATTCACAAAAAACGTTTAGCTCAAAGGAAACTATTTACAGTGAAGCATGATGCCAAACACACCGAAAAAGTTACATACACTTTAAAAACATGACCTAGTGGAAAAGTATAGAGAAAGATCACTTTTGTGCGTTTAGCTTGTTTTAATGTATTACATAGTTAGCCAAAGAGAATCACTGTGTAGTAAATGATGGCCAGCATCTGACACTTCCAGGAGTTTCGGATGCCTGCAGGGCTAACCTATAATGAGGCAGCCTGAGGCGGTTGCCTCAAGCGGCATCTCATTGGGGGGTGGCTGGTGCAAGGGAGGCAATAACAGCATTCCAGGTTGCTAATAGCAGGGAAAGGTCTGGATGCTCCTTACCTCTGGGTCCAGTGGCACTGTCTGGCTTTCCGCCCAGCTCGCTGTCACCGGTTGCCTGGAGCTGAGCGGGAAGCTCTGGCTGGCATCTCACTGACAGCACCACTGCCCATAATACTTAGGCTCCATTCACACTGAGTGATTTATCGCGCGGTAATTCCCGCGATATCGCGGCTATTTACCGCGCGATATCGCTCTCTAATGCATGGCAATGGGGCAAAGGGTCCTGCTGTCGCGGGTCGTGCGTCGCTACAGCAGGACCCTTCTTGAAGCGGATTTTGCAGCGATTCAATGCAAGCATTTGCGCGATATCGCGCAAAATGCAAATCGTGCGACAAACGCGCGATTTGCAAATCGCCAAGTGTGAATGGGGCCATAGAGCCGGCGTGGGACACCGTAGCTGTCCCACACTGGTTCTTAAAACCGAGAGCTGGCTGATCATGTTACCACTGATCAGTCAGCTCTCTCTCTCTCTGCTCCCAGTGGAGATCAGTGGCTGTCATTCCATGGATCTTCACAGCTGGCTCTCAGCCACACACAGAGAGGCAGAATCAGCTGTCAGGCAACTGTGGTGATTCCCTACAATATTGTCAGGATCCTTCCTAAGGTGGCTCTACACTGTGTGGTTTTTCATTCAACCCACAGGCTTCTGGAACAGGAAATAAAAGGAAAGCTCCCCAACTAGACACAGAATGCAGATTAATAAATAAATACACCAACAGGGGTTTGTTTAACCCTTCTGTACTCAATTCTAAACTTAGAAAAAAGCTATACAAGCCCACTTTTCACTATAAGTTTTGTTTTCCTTTTTTACATTTTAAGAAAAACATTTTCAAGCGACAGAGTCACTTTAAAGAGTATAAAAGCTTGGTACATAAGACCAGTGACAGAAACAATATTCACAATCTTTTTTAAGCAAAACAGTTTTATTTATTTTTTAATATCTCTCTTGCTCTCTCTTTTTTTTTTTTTAAAGCAGACAGCAAATAGTAATAGAGCTACATAGATGTTTCTGTTATGGAAGAAAAAAAAAAGGATGACCAAAGAGACAATAAAAGCTAGATTGGACCTGTAAATGAGTGACATTCCATAGTAAAGCAGGAAGTGAGTCTCACTTTTAGATGACATGACACATAGGAAGGGTGTAACCATGCAGTCAATGTCTAGTGAGGGTCACAGATCAGATTCCGGTCACATAGGAAGCACAGCAGAAGTTGAGCTCACCTTTTTGACTTTATTTTCCAGCTCCATGTGTTGTGGACGTGGGTTATGAGTGGGTGCTGAGTGTGTACCGGCCGCTCTCCCCGCAGCTGTCAGCTCTCATACACTTCTGCTTCCTTGAACTTAAACGTCCGCTGTCCTGCGGCTCAGCGCTGATAGCGAACAAAAGAAAGATGTTAACCAATCAGAGCCCGCCCCTCACTGATCTGCAGCCAATCGGGTTGCGGTGAAGGTCCCGCCCATGAGACAAGTCTGCAGTGGAGGTGTTGTGAGTGTGCATAAGTGCCCCGCCTGCGGTGCATATAGGTAATAGCCGAGGGAGTTCTTTTGCTCTCCTTCACTGTCCGCTTTCCGATGGCCCCGAGTTATACTTTTTGTTAAATACTAATGCTGTGGGTGTGTCCTGCTTAGTCAGCATGTACACAGGCTGTATACACAAGGCTGGCCGGGGTGCAGTCTTCTCATAGGCAGTATGGGGAACTACAGGCATGGCCAGGAGCTAATTCCTGATCGGTCAAAACACAGCCACAAGTATTATATGCAGTCCCAGCTGCATTAGAACTACAGGTCCCAGCAGATTAAATGATATGCTTTCACCACAGGCTGAGAGACTAAGATCACTTAGTACAAAACATCAGATATTTATTTTTTGACATGCTATCTTTATGAAATGGTAACTTTGTTCTGCTGAACTGTTTAAATGCTGGGAGGAGTATATTATTGTGAAAGAGGAATTAGATCAGAATAGGTCTGGCATATGTTAGCTGCTACTAGAGATAAACGAATGTGCCCGGAATCGATTTGCAGGGGGGTTAGCGGAATACTGAATAAAATCTGACAATTCTATTGATAATCAATTCTGCCCATTTTTAAGTCTAATAGGCAAGGGGTTGTTAAAAAAAAAGGGAACAAGGAGCTTGGCAGTGACATGTACCAATGCAAAAAAAGAAAAATAAATGCAGGGAGAGGGTCATTTTATTGCAACTTTGAGGGTGACTTTGGAAAAACAATTCTTCAAATGACATGCTTGGGAGATGTATTTGTACTTGTACTGAGTATGGTACTTTGTATCGGTGCATCCTTAGCTTAGACACAGCAGGACCCCAATCTGATTTCAACTTAAAAGCAGGTTTATTAGGTAGTTTTGGCTGCAACACCTGATTTTCTTATCCAGCAGTGAGAGGCCTGAATTGCACGGTGGACGAAGCAGCCACAACAGATCTACAAGCTATAGAAAAGTTTACTAAAAAAAAAAGAAGCATAAGCTCTCAGCTTTGAAGAAATTGGCCAGTGGCACAACATTTAAATTAGGAATGCACTGATACCGTTTTTTCGGTATTGAGTATGAGTACCTATACTTTTTTCAGTACTCGCCGATAACGAGTAACGGTGCTGTGTGCACAGATTATCAGGAAGTAGGGCGGCGGATCATAACCCATCGCCTGGCTTCCTGATTGCCTGTGAAGCCGGGGGTTTTAGCGAAAGAACACCGGCTTCACTTGCCAAGGCTGATTGGTCAGGAAGCCAGGCTGCTTACCAACAAGTGGATGGCTTCCTAGCCAATCAGGAAGCCAGGCGACACGTCATGACCCGCATCTCGACTTCTTGATTGGCTAGGAAGCCGGCTTCACTTGTCCCTAGGCAGCCTGGCTTCTGAGGCGGGTCATTATATGCCACCTGGCTTGGTTGGGAAGCCAGGCTGCCTAACAAGAAGTGAAGCTGGTATCCCAGCCAATCAGGAAGCGGGCGGTGGGTCATAACCCACCGCCCGGCTTCCTGATTGGAAAGGAAGCCAGCTCCATGCTCCCTCAGCACTTGCGGTCAGAGGGAAATCTCCCTTTGACCAGAAGTTCACCCAAATATTCGTTATCGACCCTGATACCAATACTAGTATCAGTATCGGTGCTTCCCTAATTTTAATAGTACAGTTTGTGAGCTTCTTTTTGCGCAGTACCACACTGTATTGTCTGAAAGTGATATTAAAGTCAAAAGGATTTTCAAGCTATTTGAAAGGCTGATTAAATCACTTACAATGGATGCCAATCCTTGTGTGTGCTAGTAAGCTGTGTTTATCTCCACAACCACTCAGACACAGCAGGGCAAGAAACTCTCCTCCTCCCTCCTCGTTCCGTCTCCAAGATAGTAGATGTACAGCTGCTGGAGACTACTCTGGCCCTGGTGATCTTGTAGTGGACAGGAAGTTAAGGGAAGCTGAGTGGAGACAGTTGAAGTCAGCTGTTTGGAAAAATTATGTCTGTAAGTGCTTGGACAAAAATGTAAAGAAATACTTTGCTGGGCAATGATCTCGATTCATTACTTAAAAAAAAAGATTGACTGTTAAATACTACTTTAAAATGTTATATAATGTCAGAAAGTGCACACAAACACTTCAAATCTACAACCTCCCATTCGCTGAAGCTTGTCTCTTCCATATATTCCCAATTATTTCCAAGCAATTTATAATAGATACACAAGCCCGGGGTACACCTGCATTGATTTTCCTCCAGGGAGAGATGCATGACTTCTAGTTGCATGGTCTCCTCATATTCCAGAGGTGATGGAGTGGGAGACATTACTGGGGTGGGTGTAGGTAGAGGGGCAAAGTATTCTGTTGTTCTTTCATGCAGTGATCCACTCCTAGGGCTAAACTCATGGCTTCTTCCTTAGCCTGAGGAGCGGGTTGATGCACAAAAGAGTCTTTGATAGAGTCAGAGAGCCCCACTCTAAACTGGCTGTGTAGAGTAGGATTGTGCCAACCCAAGTCAGGTGCCCACATACGAAATTTCAAGCAGCAGTGCTTGTCCCGTAAATTCGACTCAGTAGTGTGAGCCTGATGTAGATCATCATGTAGTAGACTGAGGGCCTGGAAAGAGGTATCCATGTTGGACAAGGCTTGATCAGATGGGGACAAGCTGAAGGCCCAAGTCCGGAAATTGCCTACAAATGGGAGCTTTGGTCCCCAGGCAAATTAATCTTAGGTTCAGGAGGCTTGCCGCTTTAGTTGATACTTGTCCCTTGCATAAAAGCATAGACACCTGTATTTATCGGGTGAGCTTGCAGAGTTAGTCAGCAAACAATTGTGCCCGGTTCAGATCCTTTCTTGCGTTTTGTGCTTGGGATAATGTAATGCTTGCCCCTGTACATGTAGTCAGAGGGTATACCAGGCTAGTGTAGCTTCAACTATAGCAGCCCTCATAGGCCTACTGGTACTTAGTTGCCCCCAGGACTTAATACATCAGGCTATATTATCTGGCCAAGTAACACAAGAGGATGAGCAAAGGCAGTCTAAAAGTGCCCACACACCTTACGACCATCGCAAGACTTTTGTCTTGCGATGGTCGTAAACTTATTAAAAGCTCGTACGATCTGCCCATCTTGGACAGGCAGATCGTACTTGTGATCATCAAAGGCCGCCCCCGCGGGGGGGCGGGCTTCCGATGACCGCAATGCTGAATGGGCAGTGTGCGCGTGCGCACACCGGCCCGTTCCGCAGTTGTCGAACGAGCAGGCTAGAAACCAGCCGAGAATCGTGCAATTCTCGTCGGGTTTTCTAGCATGCTGGTTCGACAAAAGACGTGCGACCGTACAGTAAAAACGGTCGCACGCCTTCCATACACCTTGCGATTATCGTACGATCGCGGGATTTCCCCGCGATTATCGTGCGATAATCGCAAGGTGTATGGGCACCTTTAGAATACCTGTGGTTCAGGAGATACAGCTGTCCACAGATGATGGGGACAGGTGCCTCAACTGGAAAGTAATTAGAGGGATGTGGCAAGAGGTTAGTCTTAGCAGAGACATAGTCAGTAAACAGGCAAGAGTCCAGGCATCAGACAGAGATGTGGTCAAAAAACAGGCCAAGTTCGATACATAGGCAGATCAGATAAAGGCAATAGCTGGTGAGACCTGTGGGAAAACCCCCCCCAAAAAAATCAAAAGCCTCTCTTACAGGGCCAGGGAGGTTTAACTCAGATGTCAGCAGACACAGGACCAATGGAAATCAAGAACGGAGCAAATGCTGTAGGCATTGCTAGGCAGCAGGACGGACATGGGTGCTTTGCCAAGCAATAGGTTGCCAATGCCGCCGAGACCATTGGGGAGCCAGGTGAAATAGTAGCACAGCCTCTAGGCAGCAGAGATGTGCTGGGAGGTGAGCCAATCAGTGTTGGACAGACCAGTGTTGCACACAGTGGATACGCTCTTGGAAGCTTGCTGAAGGTAAATCTTTCCCATTTAAGAAATATATCAATAGTAATGGTATACTGTGCAACAAGTTAGTGCACCCTTGGCCTCAGAAGCTGGTGTAGCACCCCCTTACCCCTGTTCAAACTGTTGAGCAGCTTTAGGCAGCACTAATACCTTTACAATTGACCAACTAGATTATCTACAATATCCACTGGCAGCAGCTTGTACTCAGATCTCAAGCAGTGAAGCTCCTTCCCCTGGTGCTCCAGCTAGGCTCTAGCTTCTCTTCTCCCCTGGATGTATCCTCCAGCAAGGCAGTGTATTCTTTCCAGGCTCCGTACTCAGACCCCTCTTTAGGCAGCATCCTCCCCAGGCATAAGGCCTGGGAGGTAAACACCACTAACAAAGCCTCCTCTCCTGGCTGTAGCCCAGGAAGCAAGAGCCCTTCTGCAAGGTCACCTGCAATATTTATATCTTTCCTTAGCATGCACCACTGGTAAAACAAAAACTCCTAGTGGTTGGCTAGTGAGACATAAATATTCATACCTTAGAACTATTGCATCTTCTGCTATATTGCCAGGAACATTGCTCAACAGCAGGCAGAAGCAAACAATAATATGAGCTTAGCGATTATCATCAGTCTACAGCACATTGTTTCAGAAGATCCGTTCTTTGCCTATATGTTCAAAGGCAAACTATAGTCTTGCTCTAATGTTCTTTCTGGATAGAAAAGGCTTTTTTTCTGGCACCTCTCGTGCAGGTAAAATTGGTACAGTCTCTTTTTGATTGTAGATACATGCACTTTGACATCAATTGTTTACAGAGTTACCTTCGATTAAATGTAGAAGTTCT